CACAGTGACGTGACCTCAATCCGCCTTACAGACCTCAAGGCCGTAACTGCCGCTAGACATCACTTCGCACCTAGCCCGCCTCGAGGCTGAAAGTGCGCTCCGATAATCAAATCTCGTACTATCTATTTTCCTTTCCATTTGTACAAAATACACTCTTCCTAACACTCTGGCTTTCCCACAACTTCTCTCTTAAGGAGCCGGGCCCTTAGGGTTAAAGTCGATTAGCCTTAACACTCTTCGATAGACTTAGTGCTTTCGCTTGATCCTGGTCTTCGCTATGCTATCCCGTCATGGCGTGAAACTTGACTTCCCTCCGTCTTCCCGTCTTGGCCAGTTTTTTTTTGTGGAAACGCCTTCAGTAAAAAAAGACGTAAAAGTGAAACAAAAAGAAACATTGCGTTTGCTCTTCTATAGATATTTATTTCGTAGCTTACGAAAAGTGACGCATCACGTGAGACTTAAATTAAACCGAAATTAAAATATGCTTTCGGTTAAAAAGGATTTCTTAGTTGGAGTTTTCATACTGATTATTTTTTTTTACCTCACCTATTTTAGCTACCGGCAAGGGAAGCAGAGCTATGTTGATCCGCGTTTGGCTCTTCCGTTGAAAAAGAAGAGACGTGCTGGCCAGTCTCGCAATAAATGTACGCTCAAGTTCGACAGTCTTTCCACGGCCGCTGAGGTAAGTGCTTGCATATTCAGCCCTGTCCAGTTCTCCCCCTTGTTCTGTCTCCTCAATTTTTCTGCTGCTTTTGCTTGCTTCAAGGTTTTAGCCGACTGCAAGCTGACATCCAAATTTGTTGTCCTTCTGGGTGGCAGCAAGGGCCTAGGCAACACAGTTGTCAAGGCAGTTGCTGCCAAGAAGGAGGCGATAATCGTCTGCGTTTCTCGAACACCACCCGCCAACTCTCAGGTGCTATCTCGACATTCCACGCCGAGAACTGATTGTGTATTTTGGGCGTTTGTTGACCTCGCCGACCTCGACAGTGTTTACGCATTTAGTCAGGTGAAGTAGTTTTTTATTCCCTGCGTAATTTTCTGCTCTTTGTGGTTGCCGCTTATCCACCGTGCGCAGAGTTCACACCGCTGTATTTTGTCTGGATATTATAGCTCTATCATTCCTTGAATTGGCCATTGGACGTCCTTATTCTTTCGGCTGCGGAACTTCCAAAGAAAACATCAAACTCTTTGGGGTAAGATACTTGCTAACCATTCCATGCTGACTTATGTACCACTGTAAGCAGTCCATACGGGGGGGGGTCTTTTGGACGCGATTTTCATTACACGAAGGTGTTGCGGCTCTGCTACCTCCAAAAACGAAATTTCCTCGGGACTGTACAGTAGATTTACTATCCCATAAAATGCCCATCAAAATTATGAGCCGTATCTCGTTTCGAAAATATATTACTGAAGCAAGCTTATGATATTGATCATCCTTTAGCATAATCGAAATATATCGCAGTCACGTCAGGATTCCGATTTTTAACGTTCTTCTTTCCAACCGCTTGCAAAAACTACACTATAGAAAGGACAACAGCAGTAATGTAACCTTTTCTCATTTAGGTTCGATGCCTTTATAAATCAGCTATACTTTATGGAAAGCACGCATGAAAGTATCCTCTCTTGTACTCATTTGGTAGAAAATTACGTCTTCTTCTTCTCCAAAGTTTACACTTAAAACTAATAGTTTCTTAATTCTGCGAATTTTATGATCCTAAAATGTCCTTTCATAGTGTTGCACCTGTCTATTTATTAATGTTACCTATAACGGGTACAACACGGTCCTGTGGCGGACAGCCACAATGCCTATTCCCCCTTTATTTTCCAAGGCTCTCTGCCCCAAAGTCGTGTCCTAAAAAACAACTGTTACAATGCTTTCTTTCAATGGCGCCTCGTCCCAAGAGGCTTGACCTCGCAGCTGCTTCTGGTTAACCGAAAACAGCTGCGTCAACGTTCCCTGTTTTTTGGCATGCCGGCGGACTTGACAGTTAAACTCAGCTTACTCAGTCACGTGCACACGTGCGCACACGCCCGCGTGTACGCGTGCGCCCAAATAAGCACGCCTGCCTAAGTGCCACTCGAACACGAAAAGCCGCGGCCACTCAGCAGGGCGCCTTTGCAGGTAACATCCGCTCGGGCAATTGCAGCACACCAATAAGATAACACTTGAACTTGCTTCACAGTCCTACTTAGGCAACTGTCATCACCCCACACAACACACAGTCAACACTCTCAGGCCTGGCCGGATGCAGTCAGGACCAGCTCTGGCTTCGCCAGTGGCCACTGCCACCTGAGACTGCAACTGAGAGTTCTGTATATAATAAACCCTTCATTCTGGCGACTCTTGCCTTTTAACTTCCAGCCTGGGGATTCGACCTGATGATTGTAGTGATCCGAGTACGCGCACTACTTAGACGGCTACAGTTCACATCCATTGCAAAATTTTATGAGCACTGTTTGACCTCTTTCTCGTAGCGTGCAGAAGTGTGTTAGTTTCCTTAAGTGGAATACCTATAGTATGTAGTTTGAAAATCCTAGATGCAAGTATAATAGCAAATCGAATTCAAGATTTTTGGGTAATTGAAGCATCCATTTGTAAATTATAAGCCAACACATTTTTTAATTTAAAAAAAACTTGTAAAAAGACGCAATTTTCCACCAAATGAGTGCAAGGAAACA